CTCGGGCGACAGAGGAGGACTATGAGGAGGCGGAGGCCGAGGTGCTCCTCTGCCTCCTCTTCCTCCTCCTCCCTCCTAATCCCCTCCTCCTCCTCCACCTCCTCCTCCTCCTCCTCCTCCTCTTCCTACTCTTCCCTCCGCCTCCTCCTCCTCCTCCTCTTCCCTCCTCCACCTCCTCCTCCTCCTCCTTCTCCTTCTTCTCCTCCTCTGTCTACCCCTCCTCTTCCTCGTCCTCCTCCTCCTCTTCCTCGTCCTCCTCCTCTTCCTTCTCCTCCTCCTCCTCCTCGTCCTGCGCTGTCCAGCATCCCAGCAGCTGGAGGATGAGGAGGATGAGGATAAGGATGAAGATGAGGATGATGATGATGATGATGATGATGATGATGAGGAGGAGGAGGAGGAGGCGGAGGAGAAGGAGGATCAGGAGCAGGAGGAGGATAGGGATGAGGACGAGGATGAGGAGAAGGAGGAGGAGAAGGAGGAGGAGGAGTAGGAGGAGGAGAAGGTCAAGGAGTAGGAGGAAGATGATGAGGAGGCAGGGGAGGAGGGGGGGCAGGGCGAGGGACCTCGTACCACCTCCGGGTCGCGGGCATCCGGTGGAATGCCCCGGGGCAAGTAGCCAGGGGGAGGAGCGGGGGAATGAAAACGACGAAGGGGAGCATGATAATGATAATACGGGAAGGTGGGGAGGAACGAGGATGAGGATGATGGTAATAGTGATGATGATGATGATGATGATGATGATGATGATGATGATGATGATGATGATGCTGTTGATGATGCTAATGCTGTTGTTGATGATGATGCTGATGATGATGATGATGATGAGGAGGAGGAGGAGGAGGAGGGAAGATGAGAATGAGGAGGAGGAGGAGAAAAGAGGAGGAGTATAAGGAGGAGGAACAGAAGGATAACGAGAAGGAGAAGGACAAGAAGGAGGAGGAGAAGGAGGAAGAAGACTCCTCATCCTCCATCCACATCCTCCTCCTCTTCCTCCATCCTCCTCCTCCTCCTCCTCCTCCTCCTCCTCATTCTCTTTCTCCTCCTTCTCCTCCTCCCTCCTCCTTCTTGCCTCCTCTTCGCTCCTCCTCTTCTCATTCCTCCTCCTCCTCCTCCTTCTCTCTCCTCTCCTCTGCTCCTCCCAATTTATCGTCTTCCTCCGCCTCCTCTTCCCTCCTCTTCCACCTCTCCTTTCCTCTTCCTCCTCCTCTTCCCTCCTTCTTCTCCTCTTCCCTCCTCCAACCTCCTCCTCCTCCTACTCCTCCTCCTCCTCCTTTCCTCCAGCTCCTCCTCCTCCTCCTCCTCCTCCTCTTCCCTCCTCCTTCTACGCCTCCACCACCTCCGCATCCCCCTCCTCCTTCTCCTCCGCCTTTTCATCCTCCTCCTCCACCTCTTCCGCCTGCGATCTCCAACATTCCAATAGCTGGAGGGGGAGGAGACGGAGGGAAGGAGGACGAAGAGAAGGACAAACATACGGACAAGAAAGAGGATGGTGGTGATGATGAGGAGGAGGAAAAGGAGGAGGAGGAAGACTCCTCTTCCCTTCTCATACTCCCCTTCCCGCCTCCTTCTCCCCCCTTCCTTCTCCTCAACTTCCCTCCTCCTCCTCCTCCTCCTCATCTCATCATCATCATCATCTTCTTCCCCCATGTTCCTCCTCTCTCTTCCTCCTAATCCTCCTCCTCCTCCTCCTCTTCCCTCCTCCTCCTCCTCCTCCTCCTCTTACCTCCTCCTCCTCCTCCTCCTCCTCCTCACCCTCCTCCTCCTCCTCCTCCTCTTCCGTCGTCCTCCTCCTGCTCCCTCCTCCTCCTCTTCCTCCTCCTCCTCCTCCTCCTCCTCCTCCTCCTCCTCTTACCTCCTCCTCCTCCGCTGTTTCGCCTCCCAGCAGCTTAACCACCCTGGGAAACCATGCTCGGAGCGGCTTGATAAGACTGGCAAGGAGTATTTAACCAGGATCGGTGATGGGCTCTGGCCAAAGGTGCTCTCGTTGTCGGAGCAACCTGCCAGAGGCCTTATCCCACCTGAATTAGGTTTGTCGCTTCGCGAACTCATCACTCCATTACATTCCCTTCTCCTTCTCCTTCTCCTCCTCCTCTTCCCTCCTCCTCCTCCTCCTCCTCTTCCGTCGTCGTCGTCCTCCTCCTCCTCCTTCTCCTCCTCCTCCTCTTCCTCATCTCTCCTCCCCCGTCCCTCCTCTTCCCTCCTCCTCCTCCTCCTTCTCCTTCCCTTCCTTCCTCGTCCTGCTCCTGCCCTTTCTCCTCCTCGTCCTCCTCTTCCTCCTCCTCCTTGCAACGCGCGTGATAGCCGTTCACTGTTTTAACACCTAAGTGTCCCCCTGGGCCGTCTAGATGGTGCAGCATTGTTCCCTAGACATAATGATATCACACCGAGCTTACGGCGTAGGAATACCCTACCATACCTCGAGGGTCTCAAAATCCCTCGAGTTCCCTTACTAACGAGATCGACGGTATCGATTTATGTTGTACTTCCGTACCGTACCTCG